GAAATTTATCTCGATACGTATGACATAAGCGAAAAAATTTTAAAATATAATATATTATAAAATTTTATTTCGTCTTCAAGATTGAGGCCTCTCTTATTGCAAATCACTAGATATTACGCGTTTCGGTACATCGTTAGTCATTTTGAGGCCAGTTGTGATACGTTTGAACTTCTAAAAAGTTGACGAAGTATCATCCGTTTGCTCGCCATAGGATTTCATTCGTCGACGAGCGGCAGATCTTCTAATTTATATCTCTCGCATGTAGGTAAAGCTTTGACAGCAAAACTGCACCAGCTGCATTCGTACGGAAATATCATAACATGAGTAACACACACGCACAAAGTCGAGTAATGAGTACTACATCTCCGTTTATCTCCCTCTCTCTTTCCGTTTCTCCTATTCTTCATCTCTGTCGAAAACACTAGGAAGAGTGGAGTCAGATACAACGTTGCTCTCCCCCGGGGCATCGAGCACCATAGAAACTCGGCAAACAATTATAACTTCCGGTGGGAAACAGCGGTATATATCGCCGCCGAGAGCTGCCGGCGCACGTCGTTCCGAAACGCTACATTTATGGTCCCGTTGGTGTTATCGAGCCCCGGAATTTCTGGTTTCGGAATTTCTCCAGTTTCACCGTGCCCGGTTGCGGTCTCGGTAACCATCCACCTAGGCAACGATTACCTTTCTTAGCGCTGCGCATGATTCGATTTATCCCCCATGGCACGTTCGCTTGGACGAGGATCTCCTTCTCATCTGGACCAAGCCGGGGGCTCCCTATCTTTGACTCCGTATAGAAATATCGTTCACTTTAACCTTTCGTATTCTTAATGGGATTTCACATCGGTTGATTCAAAGCTATTTTCGAGCAAACTACTGGCATGCGAATAATTAATATTTCCGCGCTCAGCCTCTGTGAAAACTAAAATAACAATGGTGAATGCCGGACAGCGTTTGAGCGTTAACGAAGCAGAAGTTCATCCCTTCACCCGCGATTTATTCCCGATCGAAGTGATAATGATAATAAAAAAAATTTTAATACGAATCTATATTTTTATAATTATTCGAATAAATTTCTGTTCCAAAGAACCACAAAAAACAAAATGTTTTATCGTTTAGTTATTTATTGTCCGAGATAAAATTTCGCTCTCAATCCTAGTCTCGGATAAGTTCTTGTCTTGTACATTTCACGTGCGTATACATACGTAACGATGTAAATGTTCACGCGTAATCCCTTTTGTCGTCGCGTCGCGAAGTTTTCCCATTTGGCGAGAGATGTGTGCACTACTTTTGTTTTCACTGCGCGGTAAAACAAATTCCCGGGTATATTCCGGAGTACTAAGCGAGCGAGCTCCATTTGACAAGGTGCATCCCGCGTTTTCTCATCTCCTTCTCGGGAGATACCAGAAAATCACAAAAAGTCATCTCCTCGTCGAATTCACGAATGGTACATGGCAGGTTCATTTTTTTTTATTTATTTTTTTTTTTTTACCAAAAAAAGCTCGTATAAAACACACGAATGTTTGAAGCATTTCAGGAAAAAGTCGTTAACGTGAATATCAAAAAAGCAGACTCATATCGACCTGACGAAAACATTTCTCCGGAAATAAAAATCTTGTAGGCAAATGCATTTTCAATGATTCCACGACGCAAAGATACATTAATAAATATAAACAAAATCGATTTTCAATAATTAATGAATCCTCCGTATTTGAGATAGCAAAGTCATAACATCAATCTTCGAAAATCAAAGAGAAAGATCGAGGCAAACACACATTCATAATTGCTAGAAAAATAAGTAACATCCAATAGAAAGATTTCTATTCATGTTGTAGAATTACACTTTGCGTTCGCACATGAGAAAAGTTATAGAAATAGTTTTAGACACGTAAAGACTTATCCATCGTTGCAAGTAGGTCAAGCCTGTACATCTACCGGCAATTAATCACCTGTTCAGGTGAAGCAAAAAAAGAAATTAACGACGCAATCGCGTATACTAGGAGTAATGCGTCGTACGAAAAACGACAGGTTGATAATCAATCGAGATTGCTATCGGTGAGTATGTGATATCAATTTAGAATACTTAATGCTCGTCGTTCACGCGCGTGCGCAAGCATGCACTTCCGATCGTCGTCGCGAGAAGGGAGTCACTTTTTCAACGTCATATAGAAATTGGAAAACCTATCGAGAATGGCCATGGTCACGATTAATCTTGAACGACAGTCAGATCGCGAGCTTTTCGATATTTTACTCGTGCGATATGACGTCTGACTGTACTGAGAAAAAGTGAGAGAGTGAGAGAGAGAGAGAGAGAACAATGTCGATGGGTGAAGGAAATGGGCGGGGAACGTGCGGGCGTCGCGACAAATCGATCATCGAAATACGTTTCTTATCGGCTGGTCGCCGCCGGGGTCTCCCCGCAAACTTGAAGGTGAAAAGTTGATCCCCGCGCGATTCCTCGCGTGAGATTTCGGTCCGAGGTTTCAACGCGACGCAACGTAATGTCGCGACGTGGCTTCGGGCACGGAAAATACGAAATCGAGTACAAGTGTAAGGCTGCGTGGACAATTAGCGAGCGATAAGCTCGCGATGACTTGCAAGCCATGAATGGCAAGTCGAGCAAGCACGCTTGTCACGCTAAACGAAACCCGCAGACACGCATAATTCAATGAATGTTATACACGTACATGGACGATGAGAACGGTAGCTTTACACGAAACCAACACATCTAATATTCATGATCGTCGATGAACATTGATCTTTCGTGTTGTAGTCGTTAATTATCGCGGTTCTATTGTTACGAACAAACATAGGGAATAACTATCCTGCGTCGAATTGTAATTGAATTCATCCAAGTTGTACTGGTTCTAAAGTAAACTTTTCCAGGGGGCAAACTCGATCATATTTCAATTATTATATATATTCATGACTTGAATTTTCAGAGCGTTATCATTCTTATTACATTCATTGAGTTACTCGCGCCTCTGTCTGAATAATAATCATAAATATATTATTTCAAAATTCATAAATAAATTTGCAAGTCCATTTCCTCTCTTTTGAATTCAAAGCTCATCGTTTGTCGTTTTTCAATGTACCAGGAACATGATATAACTTTGAAAAAACGGAAAAAATATCACAAAAATAAATTCGAAAATTGAAATAAATACGATACAGTAGCCATATCAATCGTGAAATATTTTCGCGCTATGATATCAAACTGTCGCGATCTCGACACAATACGTCTTTGAGATTATGGCACAAAATTGATGATGAAAAATTGTCGCTATCGAGTTACGAGACGCGAATCGTCGTACTATTACTCACGAAAATGAATGACGTGTCGCGTGTGCTCTGCCTGTATTTTCCTTTGTAAAGCTCTTGCTTTACAAGATTTTCGAAACGGATCGATGGATAGAAATCCAATGCCCCGAAAATCCACGTCAAAATATCGCGATGTAACAGCAGCAATAACGTTCGTTGAATATCGTCGTGTTAGAGCGTTGTAATGTCAGCCGTGACATCTTGTCAGAAAAGCAAATGGCGAAATCAATTTTTAGACGCGAGCAACTAAAAAAAAAAAAGAAGAAAAAACTTTCCGCAACGTCGTTGATATTTTTCTTGCTAAAGCTTTGTGCTCCGATTTGTATAACAACAAACACGATCGTTTCCTCGACACAAAATAATAATTCAGAGGGAAAGCAATTTGTAAACTTGTAAACATATACAATACAAATTTTGTATTTACAATATCGTTAAAAATTCATCGAGTAATGGCAGCGCGTGTCTTGGATCCTATAAATTTTTAAACGCTATTAAAAATTTACCAAATGCAAAAGAGGAAAACAACATCAAAATACGAAACGGCTGTACGCTTTTATCAGAAGCAATTTATCATGGATTGTCAAGCTGGATAATTCAAAGCAGTTATTAGCTTTTCACAAACTCCGTTTCAGATTTTATTTAAATATCTTACCTTTTTTCCGATCTGATAACAAATATAAAAGTATAAATTATGACAATATATGTGAATAACTTACATTTTTCTATAAAAAACACGAACAATCGATATAAAAAGCAAAATATCGATAAAAGCAATATTTAAGTAAAAAAAAAAAAAAAAAAGATTTCTCACAAAATAAAATATTTCTCCCTGTAATTGAGAATCTTTCGGTAATAGATTAAAATATTGCCACGCTTTTTTCTTCGTGATGGCTGATAGCAAAGATAAATTCTTTACCATTAAGAAAGGAAGATGCAATCGTAGCGGCAAAAGCGCCAAGACTTAACGGCCTTATCAGCCATGCTTTATCGGTCGTGACTGATAAGAAGTTTGCAGTATGAGATGTGTAAGACGGCGAAAGAGTCGAATAGGGTCGCACGGTAGATACCTAGTGAGATAAGAAAAAAGACGGATGCAAGAAAAAATGTGTTCATAATTTTTTTGCTAATTGATACATTGTTTCAGTGACATGCCGACTACGGTGAAAACGATAAATATCTATTAGTTTAGATATTCACGAGAGATAACTAGCACGCTTAACGAAAAGGTTCGGCTAATTAAGAAAATATGAATTTCCGACTCTTTCTTGTCCAGGAAAAATAGCTCTAGAATTTATTGCACATTCTTTTAAAAAATATATTTATATACTATTCGATAAAATGAGTATAAAATTATGAAAAAAAAAATATAATAAATTATTCATTATAATATAAATAAAAGCTACAACGCAAAAACAATTATTTAAAAAAAGAGTATCTGTAGAATATGCGACAGAACGCAAATAATCGTGACGGGATTGCTTGAACAATGATAAGAAATTACCATATAACGTGCGCGAAGCGGAATCTAAAGATTAAACACGCTAATTTAAAAGGCGTTAGGATTTTCGTAAAAGGACGGAGATACAAGGGACGAGGAGAACAAGAACGAGATGCGCCGCAACGCAGCGGAGATCACACTGAGTGCCGGATCGAGGGAGGGAAGTTTGCCGAGATCGGTGGGGATGCGTTTTACTCTGGACGGGAGGGAGAGCAAGCGGGCGGTGTAGGAGAAGAGAAGGAGAGACAGAGAGAGAGAGGGAAGGTACACTCGTGTCGTGCGATAACCGTCGCCGAGGTGCAAACCAGCCGCGAATTCGAAAGGCGGCCAGTCGCTGTTGGCGCGTCGGCGACGACGCGTCGCTCGTTCACTCAAATACGGGATCAAGGTACACATAAAAGCCAAACCCGCCGTGCATCTCATTGCAAACGTTCCTATCCGCGAGGCCGAGCTTAACGGGAGTGTTTCTGTGCCGATAACGTGGTACCGCCGCGAGTGACGGATCTGATGATGGGAAAGAGCCAGAGCTAAAAAATATATATATATATAATCAATATAAAAAATAATGATACTTTAATTTTTATAAAAATCTAAATGAAGGCATTCTCTCTTCTTAGGCTCCTTGGTACAAGCCTCTGGTGTACAATAGTACTTATAATACACCACTGATCTCGATCTTTAGTCATCGAAGCTTCGGGTCGATCGGCGACTCGTTTAACGCTTCTCGAATATGCAAAATGCATTCAATTCATATTCGATTTTTTCCGAACGAAGAATCGTCGTCGTGGCACGTGAACGCGTCCCCTCAATCGTTGCATAACGCGGTCGACGATCACGCGGCGGCAGCTGCATCACGCATCGGAATGTTATACGCAGCTTCTTCGAGCTGCCGAGACTATACAGAGAATACAACGCGCTCGTTTGACGGATCGTAAAATAAAACGCGGCTCGGTCCGTGGCATTGAACCGTGAGGTCGATCGGCCGACCATCAGTCGACGACGACCACCAACGTCGTCGTCGCGAGATGACCAGAGGAGAAATTCCTTCTTAGCGATAGTTGAATTTATTCCATGCGATCGCGCGCCGGAGAGAGGCTCGTCGCGAGACCGTAATACTTGATTTCCCACGTGGCATGATGCGGGCGTGCTATCTCTTACAACCGGCTGTGGGGTCGATTAATCGCTCGTTTCTCACTCACTCACTCACTCACTCTGTCCCTGCCCTCGAGAAAAAAAATCGCCGCCGCGGAAGACGCTCAATTGTCGCGTCACGCGAATGAGACCGATGTCACGTTCGTCGTATAAAATGCGTGACAGATGCACCGATCGCTTATCAGAATTCCACGACGACGTGCGCGGAATAATAAGCGGAATGTATGGAAAGAATTTATAAATTTCGGGGCGCGCATATTTTTTTTTTTTCTTTTTTTTCTGTATAAATTTCTTCCAAAAAATTCGGGCGCGTTAAACTTGCCCGCGACGAGTAAAATATTGATCCGATCGTGAGAAATGCGAAAGTTTCTACAACGATCGTGTTTGTGGCCGGCATTAATTTCGGTATTTGAGATTAATTTCACACAAACCGCATCGCGAAATTCTGGAAAGAAGAAATTTGCATTCGCATCTCTCGTGAGGGTTTCCGCGACGTAACAATGTTGAGGTACTCCCGGCGCTGGGCTTGCCCTTCTCTCGCCTGCTGTTATCTCGAAATTGAAAACAATGCCGCGAGACTAAACATTCCGCTCGGCGTTGCTCTCTGCGTGTTGCATGCATAACGTTACTTGAGTTACGGGATGCAGGGCCGCAGCGGCGCGAGTATATGCACCCAACCCAGATTAAACCGAGACGTCGAAAGAAATTGCGATCTCCGATGGAAAAAATCGGACCGCTAAGAAAATTGTTTACATCGCGCTTAAAAAGAAGAAAATTATTGATTTCAGTTATGTAATTATTAAACGATTTTTATTGCTCCCTCTTGACATTTCTAACAATAACACCTACATACTTAGATCCAATTTTTCAATAAAAAATTGAACTTATCAGAGATACTCGTGACATCTTTAATCCAAAAAATTTGGCGGTAACTTTTCTCGGATACGATATAAAATGACGATGGGAGATTACAATATGATAAATTGCTCGTTTTCAGCAGCGCACTTTTTAATAAGTCGATCTTTAAAATATCGTTATGATTATACCGGCGCGAAATCGATAATCGAACAGGAATTTATCTTCCAAGTTGACGAGCGTAAAGTCTTTTCATTACGCTCGTGGATTATTCGGCGGGAGGAGGAAGAAGGGGGCGGGAGAAGATAGGAGGGGACGCGAGAAGGGACGAGGAAAAATGTGTCGTTTAGAAAAAGGCGGTCGAGCACGTTCTCTCTAATGTAGGTTATCGTCGTCGACTGGATGCCGATACCAGTCGTGTGCCTCGCATTAAAAACGTGCTATCGATAACGGACAAGAACGATATTGCGATTTTTCATTCGCGTAACGAAAGCCACCGCCATTCGTTATCGTAACAAATATGGAAATAAGCAGAGGAGCGCATGAGAGAGAGAGAGAGAGAGAGAGAGAGAGAGACTCGCCTCTCGTTCAAACCCATGTTCTATTCAAACAGAATCGTCGGATCGTTACTACGCCCCGTATCGCTTGACATACGTGATTTTATTTTCCAACTGACAGTTCGATCCTGACGCGTTCACCTCGTCATCGTAAATGTTTGGACGGCGCGAACCGCGAGATCTGCAGCTGCATTCGAAAGAGGGCGATAGGATTGCATGAATAATTTAATCGATCATGAATAACTAGCCGAGAGAGGCATAATTCATATTTATCTCGCTAAATAAAAAGATTATTTTTCATCGATTATTCGAAATTAATATCGCGAAACGCAAATATTTAAGCCGAATACCGCGAATAAAAATCGTGCAAAACAATTATATATATATATATATATATGCAATTAGTATATTGATATTTCCCGATGCAATTATTCTATTTTTGATCACGGTTGGAAAATCGCGCAACAAACAGACTCGTTGCACGTCGGCATAAAAAGGGTGAAGTGGGATTCGGTGATTACGGAGTTTCGACAAAACTTGAAAATGCAGGCATGTTGTTGCGAGCTTCGAAATTGCGACTAAAATGCGGTCATACCATATATGCGAAATGCACTTCCACGTTCCTGTTGAATTAGCTAAACGCGATACCTGGTGGGGAGTTTATCAATAATCGATGCTACATAGACCGAGAGCGCTATGTATTATTGCATCCCCTCCCCCGCGTCTCCCCTTATAATACCGCATTAATTCGTCAAGCACGTCATGCGCGCTTCTAATGATAGTCGACTTTATTCAAATCGCATTATTTTAATACGTAAATGATTGGGACGGGTCACGACTACCGAATGAAACTCGATGCAAATATTTTCTCGTCATAATCAGATAAACATTTTCGAATTACACGATACATGTATATTAATTCTAAAATTTATAATATAAAAATATCCTCGACGCGGATATTATTCACACGTAAAATAATTTTTAATCATGACAGTGGAGCATTATTTTTTCGACATTTGCATGATAAATTGAGAAACAAAACCCTCCTCAGATCTTTGTCAAATTATCGCCGGATTAGCCTTCGTCTCGCGGTTCGCAGTCTCGAAATCCGATCTTAATCCACGAGTACGAAAAAGTTATTCCCCTCTATCCAGAACGTACCGTAAACTACCGAGGAGGTGAATCGGTATTCCCCTTCGCCCATTCCTTCCTCCGATCCGGCCTCGTTTATCGTTATCGCCGTCTGGAAACTGCGAATGCTTTCCCGGGAGGGTGCGGACAATTCTTACAAGTCGCGGCGATAAAGCGGATGGGAAGATAAGACGTTGCCGAAGGAATAAAGGCGAAATGTATTGGAACGGGGGTGTTGGTTGGACGGTGAACTGCTCGCGAAAGGATCGCTCCTTCTCTCCATCTTTCCTCAAATTGCGTGCAGCGGCGAGGAATCGCATACAATATTCTAACAGAGGCGCGAGAAGTCGAACGATTCGCCGCGTATATGTGTATGCATGTACCTATATATCGTATATATCGTGTCGTCGGTGAATCGACGATGGTATTACGAACGAGAGGAAGAGTCACGTAATCGGAAACGATTTACTCCTACACGTACCTCCACCTCGCACTTTACTTATCGTCCCGTGTCGCGTGTCGAAGAGGCAAGGTAGACCGATGGGGATCGCTATTTATCCATTCCAGACCGTGTTTCTGCAACGATAAATACGCCGGCTGTTCCCCCGATTGTCCGGTCTTGAGTCTCGCAGTCGAATATACATGAATATCCATTAATGAGGTGTGTAAATCAGACGGACCGAAACGTTTAATCGTCCCCGATCGCGCGAATCCATCGCCGAGAATAATTCGCGTTCACGTTGTTTCGCGTCTCTCCTCTTTTATTCCGTTATCGAACTAGCGTTTTTGCGTTTCCTCTCTTTTTTTTTTTTTTCAACATGTGCGTTTTTTCGTTCTGTTTCTCCGCCCTGCTTCGCTTGTTCGTTATAGTAGCAATGAAACCGACGTCCCGAGTGTGACCCGAAACCGAAGATTAATTAATCTTCATCGATTGTCGAGAAGTAACGACTATCGAAAAAAAAAAATTGAAAATGATTTACAGATCGATACAGCAACATACGAGTTTTCTCGAGTGAAATTATCTCTATTATTGAAAACAAGGAATTCATTCCAAACATGTCAAAAAAACTAGTATACAAATTTTTATGAAAAATATAAAGAAATTATATAATTTTTTACATGTACAAATATGTCAATACCTTACTTGAAATCTATTTTTTTTTAAATATAATTTAGGATACACGCGCACACAACTATTCATAAATTAATAAGATAACATATATATAAAGAAAAAATATCGAGAACTTAAAAATTGTGTTTTTAACGATCAATAAAGAACCAAATTAAAATTTTTATCATGCTTGGCGTTGATATTCTTTAATTTCTCGTAATTATTCTAATTTTATTCAACGGGCAATTAGCTTAGTAAGAGCATCTCGCGTTAATAATGAGGTATTTCTTTATTGCTAATAAAAGTAGAGCAAAAAGCCGAGAAGGAGAATGAAAAACGGAAGACCGGAAGAAATTTCGAGCAGTCGTCGTTGAAGAGACTCGATCGTAAAGGGAAATTCTTCTCAAATCCTTTGAGTGAGACTGCCTTTC